CCAATTTGTCATCGAGTCAATTAAATGCTGACTGACGTTTTTCCTACAAATTGTGAGGTCACTATTTACACATTGAATTGTCGACGGATTTTATCGTTAAATCCCGATCATGACAAGGAGCACACGGCGGGTGTGACCGGTCTGCAAGGGATGTTCACTCCTCCATGGATCTAATGAAATAATTTTTTTAGATATCTTTTTCAAATTGATCGGCACAGGAAAAAAATACGATATGGCTAGTGATGAAACCCAATTTTTTACACTTAATATAATTTTGTCCTTATGGAGGAAATATCCAGCTATTTTGTTATCTGCGAATGTTCGTTTACCAGACGTACAAATCCTTTTCTCCTACTGCATTCCGCTTCCTTTAATATTTTATAACATACAATGCAACGAAGATGGTCAAATTTTAGGGTTTTTAGAAATATCACCAGATTTAACAACTCATTTCTAATACATTTCTTATCAAGGTTTTCTTATTCTAATGGCAGTTTTTTTAAAAGCAGCATTACATGTTTTTATAAAGGGTGTTAAGAAAGTTCGTTCCACATGTTTTCTTTTATTTTCGAAAAGAAATACGAAGAGAAGATATTCACAATTTGTGATATTTCATGTTTAAAGAGTCCATTCTTGCTAATGATAAGGTTTTAACTGTCTTTTGTTGAATTGATAAGGGGAGGGCAGGTATTAAAATAGATGATGTCTGTTCAGAAAAAATCAGGGATGGCATAAATTTGTGACATTTATTAAGCACACAGGTCAGGACATCCTTTCAAATACTATGCAAAAATTATCAAATCTGTGGAAAATTTCAAAATGACAAACCTATTCTGTTGAAAAGTTATCTATCATTGTTATTCCATCGTTCATCAGCTTGTCTGATGCAAGAACACAGCTATGAAGAAACAAAAGTAAATAAGCCTTTATTTTTATTCAAAATGACCAGAAATTTCTATCATTGGGTGCTTTAAAGATTTTTTTATATATATTTTCGTATGGATGAACAATTCTATTGTTTTCTGCTAGAAATAAATTCCTTTAAATTTAAAGCAAACTCTTGTGATTTTGTCATACAATGAAAATTAATCTCTTTGGTTAGGATTTAACACTATTTTGAAATTTTTATCAAGGCTTTCTTATTCTAATGGCAGTTTTTTTAAAGCAGCATTACATGTTTTTATAGGAACAATATACAGCATATGTTGTCTCAAACCTGTGTCATTCTCGAACGTTAAATTAAATTGGATTCGACTCAAAACCGAAAGATGTTTGGTTTATAAGACCTAAATTAATCCTAACAAGATTATATCGAATAACAGCAAAAATATGCATTTTATTTAATACTTACCGTAAATGTTTTCAAATCAATAAACGATTAGATCAAGTTAGGTTTTAATAAGATATTTTGAATGTCATTAAATTAACAAAGCATAGCTATAGATTAATGCCCTGTTCACGCGGAGAGTTTTATTCGCAGTAAATTAATATGCAGTAAACTAATGCGAATTAAAATAATGTGACTAAAATAGCGCTCACAGGAAGCCAAAGCGAGGTATACTAATGCAAATTTAAAATTTCGTTTCTACAATAGGGCTATTCAGTAAGGCTATTATGACGTCATTTGTAAATCCCATCATGAATCAATTGCATAGCTGGCCATCCATTTGATATGGTGATCTGACCAAATACATTTTAATGATTAATATCATAATTTTCCTTGACTTTTCAACCCAAAACAGCACAGATGCCTAAATCTGACCACCGCCATGTGGCCTGTGACCTAATTCCATCCTTAGGCATGCGTCAAATTTAAATTCAAATTAGCTTCGATTAGCGTTCACACGGAGGTAATGCTAAGTAATTTAATGCGCAGTTAGTTAATTCGAATTAAACAAATTCGCATTAAATTCTCCATGTATGACTCCTCACTTCTTATTTCCATATATTATTTTCTTATATCGATACGAGATATCCCCGTGAGCTTGAGATTAAAGATATCACAGAGTCTGACACATTTGTTTCATATTTGGATAATTTAATTCAAGATGACTCTAACTTTACAATCGTTAACTTCACTTACATGTATTTATACAGTAATATACCTTCATTACATATATACGGAGTTTATATATCTCAGTTGATTTCATACACCAGAGCATGCTCTGCGTATGAACAATTTCTAAAACGAGATAATTTATTGACAAACAAGTTGATGAAACAAGGATTTCAACATTCTCGTTTAAAGTCATCATTTTGTAGGTTCTAGGGTTGATATAATGACCTTGTCAGCAAATACAATAAATCATTGAGTCAAAGGCTGACTGATGTTTTGAATAGTAATTGTTAGCTATATATAGTCCATTATTTATACATGGAATTGAGCACACGGCGGGTGTGACCGGTCGGAAGGGGGTGCTCACTCCTCTATGGCACCTGATCCCACCTCTGATGTTTTGGAGGTCCTTGTTTGTTCTGTTCCTTTTCTGTAATGTTTTAGAGATTTTTGATATTGAACAACTTTCGTTATCTCCAGATGTTTTATGCGTTAATGCCCTGTTCACATGGAGAGTTAAAATGCGAATTCAATTTGAACCGCATTCAAACGGAGAATTTAATGCGCATTAGTTTAATTTAAATTAACTTACTGCGCATTAAATTACTTCGCACAGACTCCGTGCGAACGCTAAGGAAGGTAATTTGAATTAAATTTGACGCATGTTTAAAGCCAGAATTAGGTCACAGGCAACATGTCGGTGATTAGATGTATTTGTGCCATTATTATTAAGAAAAATGAAGGAAAATTATTCACTAATTAAAAATGTATACATTCACTATGATTTTTTATGTCAACTGGATACGCAGCTCTTCATATATGACGTGATCTACAAATGACGTCATATTGTAAAAATAAAATTTTAATTCGCATTAGTTAACTTCGCTTTATCTGTTGAGTAAAGGCAATTTATTTTGCATCAATTTACTTTGGATTATTTTATTTAGCACTAATTTACTCCGACTTAAACTCTCCGTATCTTGAAACTACGGACTTAAATTACGACCATCAATGTAAACATTTTGATATTAAATCACACAGCCTCACTATACAATTTTTAGCTCTACTGGTCAGAGACCAGAAGAGCTTATGCGATAGTAATGCGTCCGGCGTCCGTCCGTCTGTCTGTCTGTCTGTAAACAATATTTCAAAATGCTACTCCTTCTACAATTTTAGTCTGATTTCAATATTACTTGGCACACAAGTAGACTACACTAAGATACATAGAATAGTGCATCGGTTTTTGATTTCGATGAACAGTGTTGTGAAATTCCTTTAAAACGCTACTCCTTCTACAGTTTTGGTCTGATTTCAATATAACTTGGCACACAAGTAGACTACACTAAGATACATAGAATAGTGCATCGGTTTTTGATTTTGGTGAACGGTGTTGCCATGGTTACTAAAAATAGAATTTTCTGTGAAATTCCTTTAAAACGCTACTCCTTCTACAGTTTTGATCTGATTTCAATTTAACTTGGCACACAAGTAGACTACACTAAGATACAAAGAATAGTGCATCGGTTTTTGATTTCGATGAACGGTGTTGCCATGGTTACTAAAAATAGAATTTTCTGTGAAATTCCTTTGAAATGCTACTCCTTCTACAGTTTTGGTCTGATTTCAATATAACTTGGCACACAAGTAGATACAGTAAGATACAAAGAATAGTGCATAAATTTTTGATTTCAATGAATGGTGTTGCCATGGTTACTAGAAATAGAATTTTCCGTGAAATTCCTTTAAAACACTACTCCTTCTACAGTTTTAGTTTGATTTCAAAATAAGTTGGCACACAAGTAGACTACACATAGAAACTTAAAATAGTGCAATGGTTTTTGATAAGTACAAACCAGTAGAGCTACAGTCTCGACAGAGACTTCTGGTTATGGAAATATGACTTATTGTAAACTTACATTTTGAAGATTATTGTGTGTATCTGGATCAGGTTACAGACCTATGCACAGTGGTCCTAAACTTTAAGCTCTTTGTTAAAATAAAAAAAAATCAACGGTATCGACATAACAATAAATACTTTGGTTGTTAAGGAAATAAATTTTCCCCACAGTTGTAATGTAAATTCTCAGCAACTTTTGTAATAAACTGTTTAATTGAAATTCCCTTTGTTCTAGTGAATTAGTGATGGACAACAAAACAATTTTTATGAGCCATTCCTTGTACAAAGATGAGGACATTTTTAGTTCAATCCACGAAGTTTTTGAGGAACAGTCAACTATTTGCTTTAAAGGCGTTATATGCTCTTTGAAGCGATGCTAGCAATAAATTGACCAATAAATGCCTTTATAGTGAATTTAACAAATAAATGAATGGTTATCGATTTTCTAAAATCAGTTATATATTAATGTGAAATGATAGTGATGTAAACTACATCTAATAGTAATCTTTTTTTTCAACGTTATGATAATTTTTATGTGGAAACAGTGTCATATCAATGCATTTCTATCATAAGTCTCCAATTTTCTTTTGGTGTTCATTTTCCAGTGTAGAGTGATAACGATATAAACAATTTATAAAAAGACTGTGCAATCTAGAAAAATGAAACTTTGACTTGTATATAGCAAAAAATGATTAGATTCCTTCTTTTCTGCATGTTACTATCCATATAAATTTATAATTTATTGATTTACGGTACAGCCTTGAATACAAAATGAAATTCCATTAAAATGTCCTCACAAAAATTAAGAACAAATATATATTATAAGATAAGTAACACATCCATTTTGTTAAATGACAACTAATGTCAGGATCGAATAATAACAGTGTGTGCAACATTTGCTTACGTCAGTTTCATTTCAAAAAAAACATCCAGCACTGCAGAGATTGTGTGTGAAATATTATCAGACGACCCGTCCTCACCTAACTCTCATGGCCTGTTTTCTTCCATTCCGTGTTAAATAGTAATATATATTATTTTTCCAAGAAGAATTTTTTTTTTCAAGACACGTTGGCTTATCGGCCTTCGGGGAGTGAGCTTCGATGTCATCACGGCATTGAGTGACAACGACGGCTGCTATATATCAGAAGTAGTGAATCTGCAATGGAAAAAAGAACTTGAAGCCTCAGAAATAAGACAAGATCTTCAGTTTCTTCTTCATTCTTCACGTGTTACAGGTAGGATCATTTTTCATGTTCTTTAATTTTTTATCAGATTTTGTTTGTGTTGATGTATGACTGACGCTAATCTATTTTCTTTGAAAACTTGAATGTCTAACTTAAAAGTTCTTTATTCGGGCTAGGTATATTTCTGAACGACACAAAATAGAATCTTGAACATTTTTTTGTTTGTTTGTTATAAGCTTCTCTTCACTTCTCTTTTGTACTAAATCAAATATTAGATGGACATTATCTTATAGTGTTAGTACATGTAAATGTTGTTCTTTTATATAAATATTTAATGTCTCTATGTGCACAGATGGATGAAAACTGAAATTTTTATAGCAAAGACATTTATAACTAGTATTGAACTTAGTATTTAATGTCAAAGTCATCATCTTTTATGTGTAGTTTGACAATAATTCATATAAAATTGCATAGGACACACAACACAATGGATTTCGTTCAATAGTTTCTCAAACTTTAACACGATTGGTTCGCTTTATACTATATTTCCTATTCAAATTTTTAACTGAGGGAAACATAAATTATCGACTTTCTCTATAAACAAATACATGTACATTAAAAGTGAATAATTATAAATCTAAGAGGGAGTTACAGATAATTATTTGTAAATTTTTCATTTATTTTTATGAACTTTTTGCAAGCTTTTGACCTGCACGTGCGAAAAAATCAAAGAGAGCAAGCAACAAAGCACTAATAACATAAAAATATTGATCAAGACTTACCAGCAACGTAAGAAAACAGTCAGTCATTAACGATAAATAATACTCCATTTTTTCACTGGTCTTGTCAAACACTATTAAATTTTCCAAGTAAGGCAAGGCCATTATGCGCCACACCATCAACAAAATAATTTTTTCGCGTCATTCAGGATTTACATGCGCATCTATAAATCTAAGAAAAGGTGAATCGGAAGAATCGACAATTCTTCCGTTTGAACATCTTTTTGATTTAATTTTGATTGGTTAATTATACGCAATTATTATACAAGTTTTTTAAAGTAGTAGCTCAACCACAATATCTTCGTTGCAAATATATTGCATAAAAATTACATATTAATTTCCACAAAGTTATAAGAGACTGGAGATTTAACTAATATTAGAAATATCAGCTTGCATTTAACTACTACTGATTTAAACAATTATCGGTCAGGAATAAAGAAAGAACAAACATCGATTGGTATCATTTTCATGAGAACATACTTTATTTTATTTTCGCCCTTGTCTTAAGTAGGCGAATTTAAAACGGGGCGAATTCAAAGAACACAGTATTAATTCTTAAACAAAATTGTGGGAGAATTTAAAACGGGGCAAAATTGTCAGCAATTGTAAAAGGGCGAAAATAGCAAGGGACGAAAATAACTGCAAAAGTCATCATTAGGGACTTTTCCAGTCCTATCATCTTCTTTCATTGAACTGAATGGTTAAGGTTTATTCTTCGATGATCAAATGAGTAACGAAAATTTAGTTAAGAACTGGTACAATTTGAATACATGAAAGCAAAATTCATCTTTCCCTCAAATGTAAATTGCTCTCAGATTATCGTCGATAAAATTTATAATGCTTTTATGCATTTTGCAAATTAATGTTTAATTTAGGTGTTAATAATTATGTCATTCTTTGAAGCTCATGTTTAATATTAAAAATTAATGAAATTATTCACTGAGCCATGCATTTTTTCAGTATATTTCAATGTATAGCCTCCATCTCCGTTTTAAGCAAATTCCTTACCCCCGGGTCATGACGTGAGAGTGATTTAAGATCCTCATTTCCTATGTAATTAAAGTTATAACAAAAATGATCTAAAATATTTTTTTACCATTCGTTATTTTCTACCCTTGGAAGTACGCTTGTTCATGTACATGTAGAATTAGGATACTTTGTGTCAATATTTATCGAACTTAGCATTGGTTCTCAAGAACATTGGTTCCGAGCCGAGAATGTGAAATTCTACAGATGAACGTACTAACAACAGCTAGACAGACAGAAAAAACATAGGTGCAGACAACTAGACGGACGGACACATGAAAGCCAGACAACGGGGGATCAGAGAATGAGCTCGGTTGATTTTTCAGCTCAGGTGAGCTTTATAAAAAGTACTTCAATTTCTGCTGATTCATGAAATCTTAAGTGACGTATTTTATTGCCTTGCTTAATCTTGAAACGCACTAAAAGTATTACTCACCAGATTTCACTAATTCCAGTCACACAGATTGATTTTGGAATGTGAAAAGCTCGATTTTTGTTACACGTTTTTAATTCATAAATTTCTTTCTGACGATAGGCAATATATAAAATCGTTTTCACATATAAATAACATTATGAAACTCACAGTGTTGATATATGATTAGAAATGCAATATATGATATTTTTATAATGGTCATACTGAGTAATCCATTTAAATAACTAGAACTTGCAAAAGAAAGTAAGTTTAAATAAAGAAATTATAGAGGGCATAAAAGGTTTTTACAATATGAGGGTATAATAATACGTAAAATCAAACCAGTCCTAGCTTCATTATAGCTAAAACGTACATGCAAAACATTTATTCATCATTACATTTTTTGTATTGAAATTTATTACATTTTTACCCGTGAAATACTGTAATTTATTCGTTGAATAAAAATGATATCCTGTCACAGTGTGAAAGGATATCAAAATGATATCCTGTCACAGTGTGACGAATATCAAAAGTGCGGGAAAACTCTCGATTTCCTTTCTCATAACGAAGATTTCTGTAAAAATATCATCCTTGACCTAATGTAACATTAGATGGAAATAAATAAAGCATTCTGACAGCAAATATAACTGTCAAAATAACGAAAAAATTGTTGTCAAATTCATGTTAATAGTGTTTTCACTTCACTTAGCTATGACGTCTCAACCGCTCAACTATGACGTCACGAGTCCATGAAATTATTACAAAAAAAGACAGAGCCAAAGGAAAAATCAAAGAATTTTTTTAAAAAAATGTAATAAACAGAAAATTCAATGTTTTGTAGTTGAATATGGAATTTATTTCACTCGTGAGACAGGATTTTTTGATATTTTCACTCGTGCTTCGCACTCGTGAAAATATCAAAAATCCTGTCCCACTCGTGAAATAAATGCCATATTCAACTACAAAACATTGAATATCCTCTATTTATATAATTATTCTGAAAAAAGTCCTTTATTTTATACTGAAACCAATGCTAAGCAATAATAAAGATGCAATAGCCAAATATAGATAATAATTTAATTAAATTGAAAAGGTACATGTATGAAGACATATCCAGTTCATTTATATATATTAAGGATATCATATGACTTTAATTGTATACTTTTTTCCTCAAAGAAATCTTTTAACATGAGAAAAATAAGGTCAAACAATGCTAAAGCTGTAGGCAACTCCGTTTGAAATCATGTAAAAGTACAAGTAATCTTGTAATTGATGTATCCAGTTTCATTTTATATAAAGGAAAGGAACAGAATAATATATATAATTCGTTTTTCCTAAGAGACTGTAGGCGACATGGTTGCATTTCCTTCGTCTGATGTGTTGAAAAACTTCCAAATTGTCTATTTTTCTTATGTGTTTATTGAAAATTACAGTTTGAATATTCAATATCTGCATTTACCAACAATTATGTCCCGATATATCTCATCTTATTACTGTATAGCTAAAAGGCATCATCAAAATAGAAAAAATATGTGGACCCCTTCCACACACAAGGTTTTGACCATAAGTATTTATACAAAAAAAATTAGCAGCATGGATGTAAAAATAGCTTATAAAAAACTTGATTGTTAATATTTATTCTCTTGTATGACAGTTCACAGTTATTTGCAAGATAAAAGTTTTCCAAAAGTAGGTTTAAAAGATTAAAAAGTCGCTTGTACCAAACAGAAATTCTCTCCTCAGGGAATTGTGAAAAAAGACACAATTTTCAGAAAATATGGCCGATGTAAATGTTTGAAAGGTGCAAATTATTGGCATACATAAAAGTCTTTCCCGAGGCCCTCAAACGTCAAGGACATAAAGTAAAAAATAACTAAATACGATAGTGTCACAAAAGACACTCGATATATACATATACATCAACTACTAAACTTAATCGTCCACTGTGGCCTAGCTTTTTTCCCTGGAGTTATAATTTTAACAGATTTGAATCTAAAGATGCTTATATATTAATTTGACTAGCTCATACCTTTGATTATGTTGACCAGAATTTTAAAGATTAGTCCCATATATTTTAATGTAAAACTATTGCCTCATCCTAAATCCGGATTTGAAAAACGTTGAATCTTAACCATAAAATGATGTTCCAACGTACTATTTAGGTTTTTTCAGGCCCAGTAGTTATTGAGAAATTTAAAAAAAAAAAATCTTCTATAGATTTTCACACATCCGTGAATTCGGCGATATACGTATGTCCTGCAGTCCGTCTGTTCGTCTGTCCGTCTAGAACGCTTTCGGGATACCCATCTCTTATCCGCAACTTCACTTTTTTCCACTGAATGAAATTTAATAAGACCTTCATGAAATTTATGTTATATAGTGCCATCGTGCACCTACTACTTTTAACTTTTGACCCGACGCTTAATTCGGGTCTTGCAGAGCAAAACATGGAGTTTGACTTTACTTAATGGGAGGTGGAGATATCATTTAGTGAGCTCATTGCTCATAGTACCTCTAGTATTCAATATAGTTTAATTCCTTACCACCCTTGTGGAATAAATGTTTGGAATTCAAAGCCAACAGAGAGATTTGCATCAAGATTGTATGCTTTCGTGAAATTGGAGATTATCTTTGTAAATATTATCGAAAATGATGAACACCGAAACGTATTATTTCCCAAAATAATTTAAATTACCCGTCCTTATCTTGACACCACAAAGATTTTTTTTTAAAGTTTAGCGTTTTTAAGTTTTGTTTTTGAAAACAATCAATGCCTTCTTTAAAGTTTTTTTTATTTAATGTTTTAGATTTCTCTTGTCCGATAAAACCAGCGT